GACTTCTTGAGAAGAATTCTAAGAAGAAAGTAAACCTACAGACATTGGTCTTGTTTAACAAAATCTGCCTATTACGCAGTTGTGAATGCTTTTAATGTATTGTTTATTAAATAGATTTAGGTTGTTTATCTTTCTTAAAGTTCTTCAATAATGAGATTAGTTCTCTTTTAATGACCTATCTTCTGACTATTTAGTTACGTTTTTACTGTTCTTCAAGCTACTTAAGTATGATCATTATTTTTTGCGTTTAATATTTTACATTATTTTTGTTCAGTCTTCCTGTTTTTTTTTGCTTTAAATTGATTTGAATTAATCGTAGTTTTATGTGTTTATTTACATCGTCGCTTTTATAATAAATTTGCGTTCTTTGTCTGTATGGCTGATGATCTTGAAGTTGAGCCACTTGTGCTAGATTGTTGCACGCGAAGAATGTCCGAGATCTTGGATGTAAACTCTTCTGTAATCTTGTACACAGTAAAAATTTCCAAAGTATTAAAAACAAAGTCTACTATTGTAACTAATACTTTTTACTATCCATTGAAAACAATGAAGTGTAAAACTACCTTCCAACTGTTAGCTTACTTTTCGGACATAAAACATTAATAAATATATTTTGTTGGAAATAGATACGTACCATAATATTTATACAGCTATTCTTTATCTTATGATTGTTTCTTTCAAAAGACGTTTAGATCGTATTCTGGTTCACTGACTCTATAAAATATCTAATTCTTTCAATCATTTTCATGCTGAAAATCTTTACTAGCTTACAAATGAGCAGTCTACAAATATATTGAATAATATAGTTTTTTTAGCAATCCTTTCATCAGATTATCTCTCTGGTGAATCAGCCTAATGTACCATGTTAATTCGTTACTTTTATTTCTATTTACGTGAGCATGTCAGCAAGTAAAAAAATAAATCTAATAAGAATTTCGGTTTTATATAACTTCAAGTTGAATCAAACATTTAATTTTGGGGCTACAGTTAAGACCAAATACATTTGTTTAATATAAACAATAAATGTTTCTCATAATAATATTCAAGCAGTGGAGATGATGAATACACATTGAGAATTAGTGAGTTTCTTCTATTAAATATCATCTAATTCTGTCAGTCTTCAGCTTCGTTGAACGTGCAGCTGTAAGTCGAAGTTTTGATTTATAATTAATAGCCTTTTCATTTTTGAGTTAGATGAACGACTCCCTCTTTGGTTTATTGTTTGTGTAATTAATCGTACTGTTAAAATGTTTATATACAAGACTTAACATAATTTTTGTATTGAGATTGTTCTTGAACTAGATGGTGCTGCCTATGAAAAAAGCAGGCTCGAAGAAAAGCAACGAGAGGCGAGAAAGCAGAGAAAGAAACATAAAATCATGTGGGAACCAAGGTAACAAATCATTTTCCATTTTTAATCATTTAGTTATTTGTAACTTAAACTATTAAGTGTTGTTTAACAACTACGCACATGATAATCACTGAAATCAAATCGTTAAAACAAATCTGTTAAATGTTGAAACAATTTCAAATTTAATATATTTTCACAGAAAAGAAATATAACAAGAAAATTAAAGTTATAACGCTATAAGTTTCATTTTGCTGAAAAAGTTTCTTTTTACCACGATTTAAATTTATTTTATTTTCTAAAATTGTTTAGGCATTGTTGTAGTTATTAAACTTTCAATGTTTAACTTTCCATCTATACGTTTATTTTAAAAATTGATCAGTTAAATTCGATTTAGAATTCAGAAGTTATAACTGTTACAGAATAACGCTTCAATGAAACCATTTGTGGATATACATAAATATATAATGTTGTTTATGTTTATTTTCCAGATGGTTTAAATTAGAGCACAATTCTTACACCAAAGCAGATGACTGGATATACACTGGTGGTTACTGGGAGAGAGAATTTTCTCGATGTCCGGACATATTTTGAAAATACAAGATCTATAGTTGAATGATATGTAAACGCTTTGTTATGGAAAAATGAAACATGTCTAATCATGTCTTACCAAACGCTTTTATGATGGTACGTTTTACGTTTTGTTAATTGGCTTAATACGAAAAAAGAAAAATGATAACCATTAAGGGTTATCTAAGTAACTAAGCCTGTTTGTACTTAATTTAAAAAATGGATTTTATCATAAGTTAGATCAAAAAAATTTCTAGGGGCTAAGGACAAAATAATATAAAGGTTTTTAATTTTTTGTAAATATATATATTTTTTTTGTACGCTTAGATTTATATATTTTTATAATGAAAATTACAATAAGCAATTTTCATTTCATAAGTATTGCCATTTTAAGTTTTCATATTTAGTGTTTTGGTTATGTATTTGAGTAAAATGAAAAATATTGAAGATAAACATAAGTATTTCGAACGTTATACCAATATTTTGTGAATCAGTTTTCTTCTTTTACCTTAGCATTTCTCTGCCTACCTATATACAGAAATTCGAATTGTTAGCATAAAATCAATATAAAAAATTTAAACAGCATATATAATTTTATTCGGTAATTTTATTTTAGTTAAGTATTATTGATCATGTCTAATTTGCAGTTGTTTTGTATTTTTCATAAAGGAATTAACATTTGATACAATTTAAATACTATTGATGTGCCATAGTCTAGTATTTGTCTAAATTTAGTAGGATTTGTTGTTTAATGAGATAAAAACTTTATATCTTAAACACGTTTATGAATAATATGAAGCAATCTTATTTTGAGTTTGGAATAACAGTGAAATGTTAAATAAACTATCGTTTTGCTTGGAGTATCAGCAGGTATTTTGCAAATATCTAAAATAAGCGTAAAATCTACACGTACTACAAGGAAAACAAACCAAAAGGAACATCTCACCAATTTTTAAATGCCTTTTTGTTTTCAGAAATTATAAATTTTTATCATTTGTTTTCCGTGAGCAAACAAAATACTGTTGACTATCTGGATTTGAAAATTAACATGAAAATATCATATTAAGGGTTCAGAATGAAACTTACATGCTTAAAAACCATACTAAAAATGGTTAAACACTAGTTATAAAGATTTGTTAGTAATTGTCTTTGTGTTTGTTTGGGCATACAAGTAGTTGAGTTGTAAATGTGATTTCGAATAAAGATTTATGTACAAAAAAGTAAGAAATAGAGAATTAAAATAATATAGTGGAAAATCTTTGTAGATATATGTGTATAGTGTATAGTTTATATATATATATATATACATATTTCTCCGTGTGTTAATAATGAAAATTAAGTAATGTGTCTGACAGCATCCTAACATTCGAGAACGATCTACCACAGTTATTATATATATTCATTCATGGGTATTATAGGAAGATATATAAAAGGAAATTTTAGTAACTTCATAGAGTTAGAAGTTTTCTTTAATAAACCATAGCAATGTTAAAGAATTATTCTTTGCAGAATGTATTGTATTCGATGCATTTAGGATTATGGATATATTTTTATTCTTTTTTGATTCATTTGAAACACCCAGTTTCTTGGAAGACTTTGTTGTTTATAAGCTTTAACACACAATTAGTTTAAAAGTTGTTTATTGTTTTAAGTGTCAGCATATCTCATGAATTATTGTTAAATGAACAGCAACACAGCTTATAAACGTAAAGCTACCATTAGCAGAACCGGTTATTTAATGTTGATGACCTCAAAATCCTTACATTTTTCTGTAATTAATTTAGTTTAATTTGTAATCCATTGCTGCTCGCTAAATATAAAATATGTTTTTGACAGATATGTACATAAATTGTCTGTGAATTGTATTTTTCTAGAAATATAATAAATTAAAAATTTATTCAAATTATAAATTCAAAACATGTATGTAAATTTAATTTATAATTTTTATCCTAAACTTCTTTAGCATATTTTTTTTGGGGGGGGGGGGTGAGGCTTAGCGCAAAGGTGCACAATGGGCAAACTTGGATGTGTCCGGCGCAGAGATCGAATCCAGAATTCTAACATTACAAACTCTTGCACGAACCAACTTGCGATAAAAAACCATGTTCATCCGCACAGAAAATGTACCTTTGTAATGGACAATATTTTATGTCTGCTATGAAAGCAAGATTAATATAAGTTTGATATAGCAAATGGTAAAATAATTGTAGGTTAGATAAAAAAAATTATTTTCAAAACCAAGAAAAGTACATTACCTGCTTTTGCAAAACAGCGAGAGCAATCTAATGAAACGAATTTAACAACCCTAATATTTTAAAAATATGATAACTTTAAAAAGCTTATGCTTTTATATTGACGGAAATAAGTTAATTAACATTGTTCCAAGAAATAGGAATAATACAAGAAACTATGTATTTTTACTTTTAACTTAAGTTCATGAAGATTGAAAAGAAGTAAATAGTATTAAAAGCAAGAAAGAATTTTACTTTCTAATATTCTTTTTATAGGTCATGCCTGTCACTGAAAACAACTCTCTATAACTTCAGCTATTCTGTCTGGTACATTCTATTTTTGAACGGCATTTTTATGTTAAATAATTTAAAATGATCTTCCTTAGCCGAAATATTCAGTTCTGTCTGAAGGAACTATGGACAGTTATTTTCCATTCTGACATTGCCTCTCGGCAGTCCTTGTTCCAGCTTTTTCTAACTGAGAAGTGAGACATATAATTAACTAAATTAATGCATTGCATTAGCGTGAGGAGGTCTAATCATTGCCCCCGCGCTAGCTCCGGCGCTGCCTCTCTGGGTTTATCGTGATGGCTCTGTTGACATATACTTTTAATCTCTCAGCTTTTATTAAAATAGATCCCTATATGAAAGGTTATTTAATAACTGCTGCATATGCATTAATAACTATATTCAGGTTAGGGAGGGTCGTTGGAAATAATTTCCATTTTGTGTCTTGCTTATATTCTGATGCTTTGTCCAGAGAAACATCTTTTATTTTGGTTTAAATGAACAGGTAGTACCTACAATCTCAGATGTTATCAATTTCCGACTCATTTCGATTTCGTGCTAGTCACTAGAAAAAGACAATATTTGAATAAGTTTTTACTCATATATGATTCATTGGTTTTGAATGGACTTTTCTTTTTTGGTGTGTGATTTACTTTTCCTTCCTTATTAGCTGTTCTCTTCTTCTTCGCCACCATTTTGATACTATTAAGTTAATGCACCGTGTGTTTAAAATTACAAATTTTAATAAAATTTGTTTTTCAAATAATACTAATCTCTTACATTTTCACATAGTATGCACTCTAATGGCTCAGCGGTAAGTCTGAAGACTTATAACGCTAAAAACCAGGTTTGATACCCATGGCGGGCATATCCCATTATATAGCTCTTATGTTGGATATAAAACATCAGCATAATTTATTTTTGACCTTAGATATAATAGTGACAACACTGATGACCAACAATGCAGTTGTGGGTTTTACAAAAACATAGACGGTTGGATTGTTTGTTTTTTGTTAAGTACAAAGCTACACAATAGGATATCTGTTATGTGCCCAACAAAGGTATCGAAACCCGATTTTTAGCGTTATATGCCCTCTGGCTTACCGATGAGCAACTGGGGACAGAAGATTCAAAGAAATGAAATAACCAGAAAATGTAGATTGCACCCATCCCTCACGTTAAACTAATCTCAATTGACTGATGGAAATTGTTTATTTCTGAAACTAGTTAGTCAGATCTATTGAACTTGTTAATACAATTATGTTTACTGATATTAAGACGAACCCTTCCGCACGGAATTGTTCTCTTTATTAATTTGTATTAGGTACTATCTTGTGTTCCTAGAAATTAATTAAATAGTTTGTCAAAATCTTATATCATAGCAGTACATTCACTCAAACTGTTGGAATTTCATTGCATGAGATTTCCATGTCTTAACTGATTGTTTCAAACTTACAAATTCAGTCATTTAATGGAGCCCCCAGTGGCACAACGGTATGTCTGCGGACTTACAACGCTAGAATTCGGGTTTCGATACCCGTGGTGGGCAGAGCCCAGATAGCCCATTGTGTAGCTTTGTACTTAAGTACAAACAATCATTTAATGGAAGATAGTAAGCAATAAAAGTAACAATTTACTTTTTCTAGAGGCCTAAGCGTGAAAGAGTTGATTTAAAATAACGTAACATACAAGTTAGAAATATCCAGAAAGTCAAGTAAGGAAGTTTATGCTTCCTCAGTATTACATAATGCATTAGGAACAAATATGTTACTGAGAGAAGTCGTATGACATACTCCGTTGATTTAAACGGTAACAATTAGTACGCAGTATAATTTAATTATTGTTGTTTGATAGTGTTTTCGGTGCAAAAAACCGAATATCTAGTACCGTAAATATAAAGCGTGTATTTATGAATTGGAGATGTGTTATCGAACTTTTGTCACAGTGGCTGTGTCATTAGTTGTTAGTATAAAGAAAAAGTCGTATGTAATTATTAACCCGTTATTAGAAAAGTACAAGTGAAGCATATGTATGTAGTGACTAAATGTTGTCATAAGTGTTCGATATTCATGAAATTTATTAAATATCAAACTGCTAGTAGATGTAGTTGTTACTTTTTATAATATGAAAAATATTAGCTTAGTAAGTTAATCAAATTTAAACTTTGAAATAAGGTTAACTGAATATATTTCTTGCCTTTAAAACCACGTTTCTATTAGTCCCTATCTACGAGTATTTCGTTTAAATACGTTCGATTTATATATATAAACTTGCGAGTTTCGTGCAACTTTTAATATGTTTGCGAATTTTATACAGAGTTTCAACATGTTTTGCGAATTAAATATTTAATGTTATGCGAATTGCAGCCATTTCCGAATTTTACGTAAATTAAGGATTTAAGTTGTCCATTTGTTTTTGTTCTCTCTTTATCTGTTTGTTTATTCTGTTTGCATGCTTGTTTTAAATCAAATCTCAAGAGAACTTACCAAGACGTAACATATCTCTTGGGAATGATATAATTCTAATATAACAAACATACAGTTGATGAAATTATGTATATTTGTATACACACAGATATTCAGTGTTAAGAAAAAAGCAATACATATCGATTGTACTCTATATATATATATATATATATATATATGTTTATATGTATACAATGGAAATAAATTATGTGTACTAGTACTAGTTTTCCTGTTGTTAAAATTTGTTATAACACAGCTTGTTATAAGATGATTTTAACATGCAACGTATTTTTTAGTGCAACGAATC